ATTCTTTTCGAAGTCTCTTTGTCCAAGGTAGTTCCAAGGATTTAAAGATCGATGGCCTAAAAGGGATAATTTTTTGCTCGTTAGTCTTTCAATCTACGATCTACTACCTCATTCTTTTATTAATTTGAGATATCAACATCATCTGCTGTAATAAAAACTTCAGTCTAAATTATATGCCAATATTTTTTAAAGTGAAAAAAATTCTCTATTAACATGCTCCAATATCGTAGTGCCCATCAAATCGTGGTATTACTGGTTGAACATCATCTTTAGCTGTGATTACAAGACTAAAAAATTTTTGTCACAGGTCCAACTTAGCTTTGATACTAAATATTGAATCTAGTTTAATATAGTATGTAAATAGAGTAAAAATTCTGTTTATTTTCATTATGTGAAGTGGTGTCTATATAGCCATACAAAAATAACATAAAGCAAATATAATTTATCAAAGATCATTATAGAACTTTGATTTTCAGGGGTTATTAAAAACAGAAAGCTAAAAGACTAAGTCAACAATTAAATTTTCGTAACAGAGTGGAATCCACTACCGGTTCCCTTCTTCTATCGCAGCACCTCTCCTCTCGGTTTGGTCTGCCTCGCGCAAAGCCACCTTCTCCACCGTGTACACCAGGCCACCACGACTCCTTTTTCTTCTTCTCATTTTTCTTTTTCTTCTTCTTCTTCTTCTTCTTGCCCCATCTCTCTCTATACCCGATCGTGTCTCTTCTCTCTCCCCTTATATTTTCCTTCGCTGCATCTCTCTCCCTCTCATAATGTCTCCTCTCTTTCCTTTTTTGCGGTGCCTCATCTTTCTCTTTCCTCTCCTCCAGCCGCGATAGCTTCCTCCTTCTAGTCGCTGAGCGGTTTTCTCCTTCTTTACTTCTCTCTCATTTTTTTCCTTTCCAGCTGGGTCTTCTTTTATTCCCAAAGGCGTACATGCCTCTAACCTCTGTTGTTTTCTCTTTTTTTTTTAAAAAAAATTCTGTATATATACATATATATATTATTATTTTATTATTACGAGTAGCTAGGTATTACATCTTGTATATTTACCAAAACAAGTATGTGCATAAATACATGTATAATCAGTATTGAATATAAATAGATATTTATGACATGTATAAGCAGATTGTTTGATATAGGTATACAATACATATATAACACCAATTTTAGCTATTAAATATCAGGTATAGGTGTATATAATATCATGTACTTGTATACTTATGCGTTATATATGTATGTACGTAAATTATGCCGTAATAAACTATTGAACAATCCGATGTTAAAAGTAAATTATGGATTTTGTACAGTAAATACACCCGCAAACTGAAACCATACGGCTATTTAAGATGAAAGAATAAATTTCATTGCAGGTAATTTGACCGAAGTGACTTTAAATGGGTCTAAGTATCTAAATTTCATTGGAGGCCATTTCCCAGAGGCCCAATCAATTTTGTCTAAATCCAAATATGACCTTAAATTCAATTAAACGAAAGCCCAAACCTAATTACTTGAATTTATCTTCCGCTTCAAATCAAATCAATCAAACAAAGGGTTTTAACCAAAAGTTCTATTTGACTTTATATAAGTCCAATATTGACCAAGCTTAAAATAAACTTTAAAGTCTTTAATTCTTAAGCTGAAAATAAATTTACAAGTCTTTAGTCTTAAATGAAAGTCCAAACTTTCCATTTACTCCATCTTTAAAGCGGAATACGAACATTAACAACTCAAGCTTATAATAATAAAAGAGACCATTAAAAACACATGTCCAAATCAAAAGTTCTAATAGTAAGTAAAAATAAAGATAAAAACATAATTTAATTAAAAAAAAAATGAACTAAATTAGAAACCTAATATAAACTCCACGACACTAATAATTTTTTATCATGAAATTGTTACTTTTTATCTCTTTCTATAAAAATATAGATTTAAGTTGGATTTTACTTATAGTATGTTATGAATATGCTATTTAATTATTGAAATACATATAATTTTAATATATAAAAAATACCTCATAGTAAATCCCTCTTATTTATAGTCATATTCCGTTAATCATGTCACTACAAAATTATTATTCTTAATTAATTTCTTTTTATATAGAATTCTTAATTATGACATTTAATAATACTAAAATCTTTAACGATAATTTGAGTTATTATTAGCAAGAATTTTTACTATACTCTTATTATTCACTTTGTGTTATTTCTTACTTCCCAAAATCATTTTATACACAATTTGGAGGGCATGTGCGTAGACAGATTAGTCTTAAAATGGAGGTTGGGACAGTGCCCTCCAAAATGTCTGAACCTTTAAGCTTCAAGTTATACAAGTTGGGAACCCTTTAGGCCCCACAAAATTATTCTATTTTTTTTTTTATATAAAAAATAATATGGAACACTCTTAAATTTCTAATTGGTTCTTTTCACTTGTTTTGTCAAATAAAAGTAATTAAAAAAGTATGTGTGTTCCAACAAAGATGGTCAATATTGTACTCTACTACTATGTAAAAGTCTCCATCCCCATTAAGCCACACACACACACACATATATATATATTGATGACCGAACCTCAATGATTAGTGTGAGAGGGGAATTGCATCCAAAGTTAGAAATGAGAATATATGTGAGTATGGGGTGGGAGACTCCTTCCCCATCCCCACGCCACAAACTCAGACCACCGGTTCACCCATCCGCTCCATCCTTACATTTTGCATATTTAATTTATAAAATTTTAAGTAATTATAATGAATCATTTATAAGTTAATTCTAAATAAATTAGATATAAGACTACAAATTTTAATAAAAGTATCATCAAACATAAAATGTGATTTTTTTACACTACAATAATACTAGAAAAAACCAAAACATTTTATCAATTTTAATAAAGCACAAACTTCCCACAAACTTTTCCAATTTAGATTTTATATTTTCTTTTAGTTTTTTTTTTTGTATTTATTGTCAAATTTTTTAAACTAAAACTTTTTGTATATTTTTTCGCATTCAAATCGAACAACTTTATAACAAAAAGAATGTTAGTATTGAGATGGCCAAAAAGATCTTTAGCTAAAATATTGAGATGGACGTGGAATGAATTAGTTCATTGATTTAGAATAAACATGTATTGTAATTGTAGAAGTAAAAGATGGAATTGTCCTTTAAAACATTTCAAAGTCAAACAAATTATTCCTTTGGTATTGTATTTATCTATTTTGCTGACATTTTTATTTAATTTTTGCCTCTCACCTATTTAACCCATTACTATTTATTGTTTTGCATCTACCTTTACATCTATCACTTTACACCATTTAATATTACATTTATTGGGTATGAAAAATAAATTGATTTTTTTTAATTTGATAGGGATTACATTTATATACAAGATTGAAATAAGGCTCGTTTTTCCTTAATTTTTTTTTTTTGTTTACCAACAATTTTCTTCTCTATTTACTATTTT